AAGGAGCAGACTAGCCCTCAAGATGGCAGCAGCGCGTTGAAGTGTGTTAAAGTCAAAGCATTAGAAAGCTGGGCCGAAAGCCAAGTCTCGAAATGGCGCTGCGGCGCCGCCCCACAACGACCCAGACAAAGCAGCCGAAACGGAGCTCGAAGACCCGCTGGCAGCGAGCGCCAGCCACCACAGCAGCCAACCGGGATGATGGAACACGGCCCCCAAGGAGCCAAATGGCCCGGAGCAGCAGCAAGGCAGCAAAGCAGCAAAGCAGCAAAGCAGCAGCTGAGCAGCAACACAACGCCGACAGTCAAACAGCCAGCCGAGTCACCGCAGCCGCTGGGACCAGCCCCCGCTCCAACCCAGATCCAGCAGAGGGAGCGAAGGGAGCGAAACCGGCACTCAAAGCAGCAGCTTCAGCAGCGTCTCGGCTCGGCTCGGCGTCCACAGCAGGAGTTGACGACTTGCAGCGGCCGAGTCTAGGAGGCAGCGCACTCGAGGTTTGTAGTGGTGGTAGCTCAGTCTCTCTACCTCCTTGTTCTTCTAACTTTCCAGCTTTTCTCCCAACTTTCCAGCCTTTCCAGCTTTTCTTCCACAGAACTCTACCAGTCGACCCACCAAGGTCACTTTCGTGGCCCTGGTTTGTCCCTGGTAATGTGGAGCGGATTCAAAGGCTTCGGTTGGGGAGAATTTTGCCGCAATTTGCAGGTTTTTTTGCAAATTCTTCTGCCGTGGTGAAGGCTCGCTGCTACCGCGCCGCCATCTCCATAGTCCATTCATTATTTTGGCCATTGTCTAAAGTTCCTGAAAAGTATTATTTAAAGTTCTTGTTCATCAAAACCAAGAAAGTGATTACTCTTGAACGAAGAAGCAACCTTTCGGTTTATGCAGACACAGGTCTTGTCAGCCACTTCTAAATACACACAAATACCCCTTTTTATTTATTTTATTTATTTATTTCTCGCATTTCTATCCCGTCCTTCTCAACCCCCGAAGGGGAACTCAGGACGGCTCACAATTGGCTCCATTCCCAAGCCATTACATAAAAAATTACAAAATTAAATCCACGATTAGACATAAAAGCATAATTAACTTTTGACATTTTAGAAAGCGTTCATGGTGAGCTTTCCTTTAAGGAAGAAGGAAGGAAATTAAGCAAGTTTCATATGAACAATGTGTACAAATCTAAAGCATCTTAACGTTTCTATCTGCATGTTTTTTATTACTATGCTATAGCCCAGAATATCTAAAATCATCCAATCACTATTTAGAATTTCAAAATACAATTAGAATAGGTGCACATAGCTTCTTTCCTAAATTGAGAACGTATTCAATACACATCAATAAACAGTAAACCAAGGGACAAAGGAAAATTACGTTGATTAAATAGTACAATTGGAGCACAGAAGTGTACAACCTGACCTACATGGTATATGTTGGAGTTGCTATGCTTTATTCCTTCAGCTATATGTATTAACATGAAACATGCTTGACAAATTCTTGGATGCCATAGATTTTAAACCACTACATTTGAAACTATTGAGTTCTGAGTTTAAAGTAAGCAGTAATCTTAGAGAGCAAGTTGAGAATAATGATTTGAATAGTCCCTCCCCCACCACTGTTTTGATTGAAGAGAGAGCCTTCTCAGTGGCTGCCCCCATCCTCTGGAACCCATTTTTGGGAGGCTGCTCTGTATTTTGCCTGCTTTCATTTTGATGGTAGTAAAAGACATTTCATTTCTGCTCAAACAGTGCAAACTTTTCATGAGGATATCTTATAATTTTAACATGTGTTTGTTTCTGAAGTATTTTGCTGTTTTAATTGTTGTAAAATTGAGACTATTTGGTAATTGTTTTGGAAGCCATCTTGGCAATTCTAAGAACTTGCAAAAATAAATTCAGAAACATTGGCAATAATTGTTGAGAATTCCTGGAGAACCACAAAAGTTCCCACTGACTGGAGCAGGGCAAATGTCCCCATTTTCAAAAAATGAAGAAGAAGAAAAAACAAGACCCAGAGAATTATGACCCAGCCAGACAGAAATCCATACCATTGAAGATTCCAGAGGTTATTATTAAACAATTTTATGTAAGCACTCTGTTTTAATAGAGTTACAAACTTGGTTAATGAAGAGGATGCTGTGGATGTAGTATGTCTTGATTTCAATAAGGCCTTTGACAAAGATCCCACATGATATTCTCAAAGAAGCTTGCAAAATGTGGCCTAGGTAAGGCTATGGTTAGGTGGATTGACAATTGGGTGAACTGGCAGAAACCAAAGGGTTCTTATCAATGACTATTCTTCAGTCTGCAGACAAGTGATTAGTGAGGTGTCTGCCCTGGGCCCCATGCTATTCAACATCTTTAT